AGGCTTTACGTATTAACGCTATAAAACCAAAGAAAGATGTGAATATGAAACAAGAATAATGCATCTGTTAATCATCAAGTTAAGTGTGTCAGGTTGTACACGTGTTGTATGTAATGTTCTAACCAGAATATGGGGCTCTCTCCTGGTTCTTGGACCATATAATACTCTTTGTCTTGAGGCAGAACTTTGGTGAGGCCAAAATCTCCAATTTTTACTCTCAGCTCACTCTCAACAAGGATGTTCCTGGTGGCCAGATCTCTGTGGATGTATCGTTTACTTGACAAATACTCCATTCCCTGTTGGAAAAGACGGAACCAACAAAGACAAAGTTCAGCCTGCGGCAAAGAGGTCAGAGTATGGTGTAACAAAAAAGGTCAGGCTGAAGCACCTTGCAGATCTGAGAGGCGTAATGGACCAGCTTTTTATGGTCAATTCGCTCCATGTTTTTAATGAGGTAGTCGCGAAGACTTCCGAAGGGAAGATATTCCATGATGAGGCGAAGATTCCGACGACCTGAAAGAATGAAAGACGAAAAACAACCATAAAATAATAGTAGACATAACCCAACAACTTTAGAGAAGCTCAGTGAACTTAAGCTTTAATAACTCTTGTTAGCTCATTTCAAAAAGTTTGTAGTAGGTCTGGGGAAAAAAATTTATTAATTGAATTAATTCAAATTTTAAAAAAATGTAATCAATTTTATTTTTTTTTTTTATAATGGCGCCTTTTTTGGCTCCCCAAGTTTCTGTCGCTGCATTATTGGTCTCAGGTTGCGGTTTGGCAAGCGACAGCATCCCACGAAACGGTAAACAACATCATAACCAAGGGTGAGTGCGAGTTTTGTTTTCAAAAAAGGAATAAGTTTTCAGAAGGGAAAAAAAAAAAAAGTTTCATGACCACACCAGCGATAACTGACTGCTATGATGAAGTGTCTTTTGGCACTTATCAGAACGCATTACTGCCCAAACACAAGTCTAGTAGGAGGATTAAGAATGGGAGCGGGTTCAGTTACATGAACCAGCTGCTGCCAAGATATCAGACATGGCAGTGAAGAGCGGCTTATAAACTTTAGCAACAGTTTCCCACCGAGGGAGGGAGGTGGCGAGTTTATTTAAAAGTGGCTGTATTAGAAGAAATAGGGTTGTGTATTGAAAGGCATATTTTAAAACGGTCAGAAAAGGTTTCCGATACAGATAGCCAACAAGCTAGCTGTTAACAGAAGCAAAATCGTAATATTAAAAATAAAATCTGAGATTTTATTTTTAGCCCATATCGCTCAGCCCTAGTTTCCCTAGGGAAAGGCACAAAAAATTCAAGACTAGGTGTTACAATCTGTTTCTTGGCCAGAGGTGCGTAAAAATCAAAAGCTTATGCAGGGGGACTGCTTCCATAATAACGGTTGCTCTCAGAAACTCTATATTAAGCATTATGACAGTTGTGATTTATTGCTTAGTAAACATTTCATGGTTATCTTTTGGTAATATTTAATTTCAGTCATGAACACACATGTGTATAACCTCCATAAAGTTGCAAAGCAGGCTCAGCACATGGTGCGGCTTACAGAAGTCACAAACGCTCTGCAGCAGCAACAGACTTCCAAAATCCATAGT